GTGTGTGCACTTGTTAAAGAAACAGAGAGAAAAAGTGAGAAATCACCCCCTCGGGGGGGGGAGGGGATGGTCACGCCACAATCCCTTATCTTCCATTCTCCTCTCGGGATTTTGGGCACGCACGCACACGTGTCTGGCGTGAGTTTCAAGCCTCTGGTCTGGGACCTGAACTACCGTGGACTACATGAGAGTCCAGCGACGTAACTGTTTACGCGGTAACATTATGTTTTTCAAGTAACTGAGGGTGGGGCCAACAGATGGCATGGTGGTTAAGGTGCTGGATTCCCATGCGGTCAACTGTGGTTTGAGTCCCGGACCCCATGGCTTGAAAAATCACTGACAGATAAATAGATAAATCAATAAATGTTAAAAACAAACAAACACTAAACTAAAATTTAAGTAGCTGAGGGATACAAATAGCAGGATCCATTTACATAGATTTTTTTTTGGAGAGATTTTTGCTATAGGACGTGTGCACTTGCCAGAAAGACAGAGAGACAGAAAGCGAGAAATCCCCCCCCATGGTCACACCGCAATCCCTTCTCCTCCATTCTCCTCTCAAGATCTTGGGCATGCACACACACTCACCCAGCGTGAGTTTAAGTCACTGGGTCCAGGACTCGAACCGCATTAGACTACATGGGAGTCCAGTGACATAGCCATTACACCAGCTGCTGGTCCCTACATAGAGTTTTAAACATGCACATTATCTATACATACCCTTATAGCTGTGATCACACCAGGGTGATCAGACTGTTAATTATGGTTTGTTTGTTTTTTTTTTCAAACAAAAATCTCAAGGAAGTATGAAATAGGGTAAAAGGTTAGGATTTCGCAAATGACGTGCAATCATAACACGGTGATGGTACCCCGTGTTAGTGTGTAATTGAGCCAAAAGGGACGTCATCTCTGCACCCCTCCATGCCTCAGTGTACCCTAAAATCCTGCTAGAATTCAATTCCTACCTGGGGCAGTCATTCAGCTGTCTGAGATAAAAAGCTCCAGCCTTAACAAGAACAGTAATATTAACAATAGAAAGGCGAACACGCTTTGATCTTCAGCCCAGAGACTTCCTCACAGCTTCCCTTTCCCTTAACTGTTTTTAACTAGCGACCTTTGATCTTCCAACCACTGGATACTCAGCCTGCCTCTCAAGCTGGTCCCTATTTGTTCAACTCCTTTCTTAAGGTTACAGCTGCCTGGGAGGTGGGGAGGAAGCTGGCATTGGAGCAGCAGCCGCATAGTGAGGGTAAGTGCACTTTTTATCAAATCTTCTGTATAATTGTCTGCTTGATTTTTTAAAGGTTTTGTTTTGTTTTGTTTTGTTTTGTTTTGTTTTGTTTTGTTTGTGGGTATAGGGCGCACGTGTTCCCCTGAGAGAGACAGAAAGTGAGAAATTACCCTCCAGTGGGGATGGGCATGTTGCAAATCCCTTTTTCTCCAGCTTCCTCTCAGGATTTTGGGTGTGCACGCGTGCGCATGTGCTCAGAGTGATTTTCAAGCCGCCGGGTCCAGGACTCTAAACGCAGTTGGCTCTATGGGATCCAGTCAGCTGTCTAAACCTCCACACCAGCTGGCTCCTTGTCAGCTTCATTTTTTGGACTCAGAACACACTTAGACATATCCAGCATTTTGGTTTTGGCTTTGATTTGATCATTTTTGCTATATGGTGCATATGCTACCCAGAGGGACACAGGGAAAAAGAGAGAGAGAGAGAGTGAGAAACCATTCCAGGGGATGGGTACCACACCACAATTCCTTCTCCTCTTGGGACTTTGGGCATGCACACACACTCAGTGTGTTTTTCAAGCCTCCGGGTCTGGGACTCGAACCACATAGACAGCCATGTGGGATCCAGCCGCCTTAATTACCATACCACTTAGCTGGCCCCTATCATACCTTATTGGCTCTAGACTTCTCTGAATGCTTTACGTAGGCCATAATAATTGTAAGGGCCTTGGGTGAGAGCAGTAAGTCCTCCACTCCACACCTCAAGAACGAGGGGATGTGGATGCGTACATATGCCCATCAAAAAACATTTCTTTTTTTTTTAAGATTTATTTATTCATTTATTATTGTTATTATTATTTTTCACATGAATTTTGCCAAAGACAGAGAGAGAGGGAGAGTGAGAAAGCAAGCCACTAGGTCCGGGACTCGAACCATGGTCAGTCATGTGGGAATTCCAACGCCTTAACCACCATGCCACCTGATGGCCCCTCAAAACACATTTCTGAGAGTACATATAGCCGCTCTATTCTTGATAGCCATAAGCTAGAAACAGTTCAAACAACCATCAGCAACAGAATGGATAAATAAGCTTAAGTATATTCATATAACACGAAACCAAACTCGAGCCCAAATTAGCAAAAAAAAATGATATAAAACACACATGAACCTCAGAAACAAAATGTCGAATTAAAGAAGCCAGAAGCAAAATATTACAGAGTGTCTGTTTCCATCTGTGTAAGGTTTTAAAAAGAAGTCCTCATCTGTGGTCCTTATAAATTAAAGGTGCTGTTTACCTTTGAGTAAGGGGTAGCAGCCAGTGTGGGGGTATGTGGGAAGTTTCTGGAATCCTGGTAATACTCTACATATGAGGGGACTTCAAAATGTTTTTTAGAAAAATGGGGTTAAAGAAAAGATTGGTATGGCCAGCAGAGAGCGTAGTAATTACGTCACTGGAGTCGCACATAGCTGACCGTGGTCTTAGTCCCAGACTCAGACTGGAAATTCACGCCAGGCACACGTGCATACATGCCAAAAATCCTGGGAGGAGAAGGGATTGTGGCGTGGCCATCTCCCTGGGGGGTGATTTCTCACTCTTTTCCTCTCACTGTCTCTGTCTATCTCTCTCTCTCTTTCTCCAGCAAGCACACGTACCCTAAGGCAAAAACCTCTAAAAAAAAAAAAAGGAAGAAAGGAAGGAAAGAAGGAAGGAAAAAAGAAAGAAAGAAAAAGAAAGAGAAAGAAAGAAAGAAAGAGAGAGAGGGAGGGAGGGAGGGAGGGAGGGAGGG